TGTGCTAAAAGCTCACCACAGATGATCTAGTTCTAGCCCCACGTGACATTCCTGTTTTGCAGATGTGTGAGCAGAGATGACTAAAATAGAGGTTCCTGTCTTTGCACAAGAAAGAATCCAGATGTGAGAGAGCAGTGGTAAGCCAGGTAGTGAGGTTTGCTGGGGTGGGGCATCTGTCAGAGTGGATGGCATTCATTGAGACTGGGGTAAGCAAGATTACAAAGTTTCATGGAGAGAACACACCTGACAGGCCAGGCAGGTGTCAGGAGAGATGAGTGTGCAGTCCATATTCAGATTGGGGCTCTTCTAGACAAAGCATTTGAGTGATGGGTAAAATTCTTCCTGAGGTTCTATTACCTGATGTGCAAAGACTTGGTAGTCCTCTTGGCAGAGAGGAGTCTTCTAGGGTGCTTTTCATGGGGGGCAGTGAGAAGGTTAGGGTACGAAGGGGGTATGGGCAGAACTTTGTAATGTAAAATACTGGGCTGCTTCCACGTTGTGCGGTAGAGGCTGCCACATTCCTTTCCTATGATGCCATTTCTCTTGGGCCCCTTTCACACACACATAGGCTAATTTCTGTCTTCCTACCTAACAGATGCAGAAGGATAGTGAATCTTGGAGACGTTAAGAAACCTGGCTAAGATACCCCAGCAAGTCAGTGGTTGAACTGATGTAAAGTCTGAGCTCGCACCTGCTGTGCCTGGAACACATCCCCATGTTTTATAGAGTGGAGCTCCGTAAATTGAAGTTCTGATTCCATCATGGAAGAATTGGGCACCACGAATAGTTTTACCGTGAAACAGAAACAGAAAACTGAATAGACTGAATACTTTCACGGTGGCCCCAAAATAATACTCATACCCATATGTGTGCTCGTCACCTTTTTAAAGATACATTTATTTGAAAGGCAGGGCAAGAGATAGAGAGAGGGGTGGGGGAGAGAGAATCTTCTATACGCTGGTTCGCTCTGAGCTGCCGCAACCAGGAACTCCTTGGTCTCCCATATGGATGACATGAGCCCAGGTACATGAGTAGGAAGCTGGGACACATCTGTGCCCTGATATGGGATGCCTGCCATTGATGTGGGATTCTGGTGGCCCCAGTGGACTGTACCAGCCCTCTGTACTGTCTGTGTGGGCTGACACTGCCGCTACTGGGAAGGAAGGGGCACGATTGCTGTTACTACAGACCTTTGCTTTGCTTTCCCTTCTTGTGATTATGTTAGTAGAGACCAGCAGTTAAGACAGAAAGAAAAGCTCCCATGTCTGATAGAAATCTCTAGATGATCTCATTTTATTGAAATAAATTTTGGGTTGGTCTAACAAGTACATGCTGACTTACCTCATAGTGACTGGTTGCAAAGGTCTGTAAAAGGAACTGGCTCATCAAAACTGTTATTGCTACATGTACGGAGAAACTTTGTTGTAACTGAGAAAACCTTGTAGCAGCGTGAGTCCCTTGTCTGTGCCTGCAGTAACATGGCCACTAACTTGATGGCCCAAACACCACATTCTTTTCTCTGTTCTGGAGGCTGGAGTAGATCGAGCTGTCAACAGGGCTGCCAGGGAGATCATGACCCTCACCTGGCTTCTGCTGATTTGCTGGCAGTCTTTGGTGTTCCTTGGAGTAGAAGCATCAACATGGTCTCTGCCTGTGACTTCAGGTGGTGGTCTTCCTGTATGTGTGTCATTCTCCATATTTTCCCCTTTTATTTTATAAGGACAGCATAATGGATTAGGCCTACCCTTGTGTCTCATTTTTAAACTTGACCTTTGTAAAGATCTTATCTCCAAATAAGGTCACATTTTGAGGTACCAGGCCTTATCAGCATATGAACTGGGGGCACTGTGAGGCGTAATTCAACCCTAATACTTCAGGCTTAGAAGCCCGTAGTGTTGGTTTCCTTCCTTGTTCTACCCCTTCTCTTCATTTGGGTTACTTGTGACACTAACTCTGTCAAGCCTAGAGAGGTTGCAGGGAAGAAAGAAAGCCCATGGTGGCTGGGATGTTTCCACCTAGCAAAGGTGGCCCCTGAATGGGTGACGTGTGGCTCTGGGAGGTTCCCAGGAGATCCTCCTGCTGCGGCCTCCCCCTTCAGCTCCCATGATGCATCCTGGCTGTCCTCCAGTTGGCCCCTTCCACCCCCTCTGAGCCCCTTGCTTTTGGTGCTCTACCCTTCTGCTGTTTCTCGACGCTGAAGGCTGTATTCTTGGGAAGCTGTCTTTGAAAGTAACTCTTGAGGTCTTGATTTGGTTCATGGGAGGGGAAGACCTGCTGTCCATGGAGGTAGAGTCTACTTTGGTGCAGTCTTCAAGTTCTGCTATGGGTAGAGACAGCTTAGTTGTGGCATCTTGCCTTTTGATGTACTTTTTATTTATTTTTTTTAAGATTTTGAGAGAGAGGGAGACAGAAAGAAAGGTCTTCCATCTGCTGGTTCACTCTTCAGATGGCTGCAATGGCTGGTACTGAGCTGATCCAAAGCCAGGAGTTTCTTCCAGGTCTCCCATGCAGGTGTAGGGGCCCAAGCACTTGGGCCATCTTCAACTGCTTTCCCAGGCCATAGCAGAGAGCTGGATTGGAAGAGGACCAGCCAGGACTTGAACTGGTGCCCATATGGGATTCCATATCACAGGTGGAGACTTAGCCCGCTACACAACAGCACCAGCCCCTTGATTTACTTTCTGGCTTGAGCTAACTGTAGTCAAAGCCTAGCCTCTGTGTTCTCCAAGTCCAGGAGATGCTTGTCTAGCTGAGTAGTTCCCTTGGAGCCATTCCAGCCTAGTCCCATAGGCAGAGGTGGAAGTAGAAACAGCTCAGTGACACACTCCAACATCAAACCATAAGAACCTTTTCAACCTCAGCTTGTCAGAGGCCAGAAGACACTGGGTGGGTAAATCTGACAGAATTAGAGCTTGCACCTGGCAGGTCCTGCATGGATGGTCTATCTGCTAACATCTCTTTGCAGTATTCACTGTGTTACTCTCTGGAGGTATCAGTCAGTACCTAAACGCTTAGGCATTGTGTTCGGATTTTCTTAGTGGAGAGACAGCTTTACGTTTTTGCCCATGTGACTCTGTACAGGCTCTTTAAAGACTGTCTCGTGGCAGAGAGATGGGACTAGGCTCTGTGTGTTGAATCCAAAAGCAGCGTTGTGTTTATTGTTTGACTCTGCGAGGATCATTCTGTTGTAAAGATCTGATAATAAATGTTGCATCTCTCTTGAGCTAATTTCATGACAACGGACTTCATTTGGTGGCATAGAATAAAAGGCGATTATTTCAATGCTAAAAGTATGACATCTGTATTGAGCATTCAGAATTGAATAAGTTCAAGCTGACAGTATTTTAGCTACTTGGTAATTATACTGTGTAGTATAAAAGTATTAATTTCCTTAGCCATTTTTAAAAATGGATGTACTTGGCCAGCACCGCAGCTCACTAGGCTAATCTTCCGCCTGCAGCGCCAGCACACCGGGTTCTAGACCCGGTCGTGGCGCCAGATTCTGTCCTGGTTGCCTCTCTTCCAGGCCAGCTCTCTGCTGTGGCCCTGGAGGGCAGTGGAGGATGGTCCAGGTGCTTGGGCCCTGCACCTGCATGGGAGACCAAGAGAAGCACCTGGCTTCGGATCAGCGCGGTGTGCCAGCCGCAGCGACCATTGGAGGGTGAACCAACAGTAAAGGAAGACCTTTCTCTCTCTCTCTCACTGTCCACTCTGCCTGTCAAAAAAAAATAAAAATAAATTTAAAAAAATAGATGTACTCAGTGGAAGAGACCAGAGAGTAGAGACCCAAAGCTGAGGGAGAATTTAGGAAGAATCAAAGCAGTAAAAGAAAATCAGTCTATAAAGTGAAAACAAACAACTAAAATCTTTCAAGAATAAGTCCAAAGTAGTTGTGGAAATGAAGATGGTAATCTATGAAAAAATCATTCCTGGTAGAGGGGCCTGGGGGCACTGGTGGAAGAGAGCAGGTAGACACAGTGGGTAATTCTTTACACCTTTAGTGTTCGGACATAATGAGTCAAATGGGAGAATACGGGAAACCACTAAACCCGAAAATTAACCTTGAGAGCTACAAAATGGATACAGAAATAAATAGTGCTAGCACAGAAAGATTTGCTGTGGGCCTTATGACCCCAAAGGGGGGGGGGGGGGACTTTACCAAATGAGACACACAATAGATTTTTTTATTGTTAGGAGTTTTGTTTCAGAGTATTGGCACGATCAGTATCTATAACTTTTTCTATACATAATATTGTTCCATGCTAAAAAAGGAAAAGCTCAGTTGCAGGTATGAAGTAATGAGGCTTTGTTTAAGTCATCACTTAATGGTTTTTTTTTTTTTTTTTTTTTGAAAGAGTGGACAGTGAGAGAGAGACACAGAGAGAAAGGTCTTCCTTTGCTGTTGGTTCACCCTCCAATGGCCACTGTGGCCGGTGTGCTGCGGCCGGCGCATTGCGCTGATCCGAAGCCAGGTGCTTCTCCTGGTCTCCCATGGGGTGCAGGACCCAAGCACTTGGGCCATCCTCCACTGCACTCCTGGGCCATAGCAGAGAGCTGGCCTGGAAGAGGGGCGACCGGGACTAGAACCCGGTGTGCCGGTGCTGCAAGGCGTAGGATTAGCCTTTGAGCCACGGTGCCAGCCCTATTCTCTCATATACAATTGTCTTTTGGGTTTTTAGAGCTTCAGAAATAGTTTTGGAAATAGCCTCCAACTATGGGTAATTATTACCAGGACGAAGTTTGCAGCAAGCCACATTCTGTGATGATGGTCTTTCACTTCCTGATGCGTTAGAGGAAGCTGGTTTTACCCTGATAAATTGTAACTTACGTGTGCTTACATCTTACTCCTTTTCATATCTTCACAAATTCCTGAGTACTTTGTTGCCACTTTGTTGGAACTCTTGCTGTATCTGTGTCCGTTGAAACTTATAGGAAAGTGTGGGATCTTAGTCCCTATGTGATAGTTCCAGTTTTAATGTTAATTATTGATGTTCTTGCAGATAAAACCCAACCTGTGCCTTCTAACAATACAAGTGAGCCTTCTGGAAGCGCTGTGAATTCATCAACTTCAGCTGCCTTGACCTCGAGCAACATGACAGCCACAACTGTGAAACCCACGTCTAAAATGGCACCAACACCAGGGGTCTCAAATGTGACATCCACCACCTTAAAGTCTACAAGCAAAACAAGTGTTTCACATAACACAGCCCAGATGTCGACATCCTCGATGACCACAACTACTCACAGCAGTACGGTGACATCTGTTTCTTCATCAGCAACAAGTATGTGTGAAAATCAACCAGTTTGTCATATGCTGCATTTAGGATACCATTCCATTCTGCAAAAAATTAACATGGAAACTTACTCTAGATTTCCCCTCATCCCCAATTCAGTGTTCTTACACAGAAATGCAGAATATTTAATTTTTTTTTGTTTTGTTTTTGTTTTTTAAAGCACTAAAGCCTGTTTTGTTTTCTTCTAGTAACAGCAACTATTCATTCTGAAGAAAGTAAAAGATCAAAGTTTGATACTGGCAGCTTTGTTGGTGGTATTGTATTAACACTGGGAGTTTTATCTATTCTTTACATTGGATGCAAAATGTATTACTCAAGAAGAGGCATTCGGTATAGAACCATGTAAGTTTTTATTGAAAGTCTCTGCATATTTATAATTATGACAAAATGAGCAAGTGTGCATTTCAGGCATGAATAATTCATAGATTTGAGTTATATTCGCATTACATCCCTCTTGACTGAAGGTAAATTGTTCATATATAGGTTTGTTATTACAAATATCTGCGAATGAAAGTGGATACTTTTACCTACAATGTTTTCATTTTACTAGTGTCAAACATTCTGTTTTTTTTTTTTTTTTTTAACCAGATACTAAAGTTTGGCCAACTCTTCATTTGCTTACATGAGAAATACAATATTGCATCTCGTTAGGCTAATGACCTAGTGTCTGTTGGTGGTACTGCAAAAGCATCCTTGGTTAAAAAAAAATTTGCCTTTCAAATAAATTTTTAAAAAGGAAAGAACGAGTTATAGCAAGGGAGAAAAAGTTCGTCTACTGGTTCACTCCCCAAATGGCCACAGTGCCTGGGCCAGGCTACAGGTCTCCCACCTGGATACAGGGGACCCAGTACTTGGATCATGATGCTGCTTTCCCAGGTGTATCAGCAGGGAGCTGGATCAGAAGTGGAGCAGCCAGGGCTTGAACCAGAGTCCATATGGGATGCCAGTGTTGCAGGTGGTGGCTTAACCCACTAGACCAAAATGCTGGCCCCTCCCTTTTTTAAATAGATTATTTATCTCAAAGTCAGAGTGACAGATCTCTGATCTGCTGGATTATTCCCTAAATGCACACAACAGCCAAGGCTGGGCCAGGATGAAGCCAGAATCCAGGAACCTCTATACAGGTCCCAGCTACCTAGCTATCTTTTGCTGCCTCCCTGCCTGTTAACAGAGAGCTGGGTTGGAAGCTGAGCAGCCAGGACTCCACCTGGCACAGCAATATGGGATGCAGGTGTACCAAGCAGTGGCTTAACCTGTTGTACCACACTGCCTGCCCCTGGTTTTTGCTTTTAACTCAAAGAGAAATGAAAGAAATTACTCTGAACAGCCTTATTTTCACTGACAATTTAAATGAGTTGTTAGCATAAATAATATACTTGAACATTTTATCTTTAGTAAAACTATCTTTATCGGGGCCAGTGCTGTGGTGTGATGGGCAAGGCCGCTGGTCCCAGTCCCGGCTGCTCTGTTTCCAATCCAGCTCTCTGGGAAAGCAGTAGAAACTGGCCCAAGTCCTTGGGCCCCTGCACCCACATGGGAGACCTGGAGGAAGCTCCTGGCTTTGGATCAGCGCAGCTCCAGCTGTTGTGGTCAATGGTGGAATGAGCCAGTGGATGGACTGTGTAACTCACTTTCAGATAGATGGATAAATCTTTTTTTTTTATCAGCAACTCCCAGTCAGCAAACCACATCTGCACTACCTATAGCTCCAAAGGTCTTAGGGATATATCTCAGCTTTTGCTGTTCTAATAATTTTTTTGTCTTTTATGTTGTCTTAGTTCAAACACTGTAACAAATTACCAGATTGTGTGCCTTAAACTAGCAAACATTTTTCACCTTTCTAGAAGTCCAGTGAGATACCTCTCCCTCTCAGGCTGCAGCCTTTTTTTTTTTTTTTTTTGGTATTATTTTTATTTGAAAGTCAGAGTTAGGCAGAGAGGGAGAGGTCTTCCATCCGATGGTTCACTCCCCAATTGGCCACAACAGCCAGAGCTGCGCTGATCCGAAGCCAGGAGCTTCTTCCAGGTCTCCCAGATGGGTGCAGGGGCCCAAGGACTTGGGCCATCTTACACTGCTTTCCCAGGCCACAGCAGAGAGCTGGATCAGAAGGGGAGCAGCCAGGACTAGAACGGGTGCCCGTATGGGATGCCAACACTTCAGGCCAGGGTGTTAACCCGCTGCGCCACAGCGCCAGCCCCTGGCCACAGACTTCTAAGACTTTTTCCTTGTATCCCTGGAAGGAGGCCCAGCTTTGTCTCTAGCATTGTCTTATTTAAGGGCACAACCCTAATGATGTAATCACCCCCAAACACTGTCATGTTGAGGTTTGAATTTTAACATGAATTTTGGGGTGACACAGCCCATTGCATACACATAAGAGCCAATTCATTCTTTTGCTTGTAAATATTATAGATGACCCTTTTTTGTCATATACATATGCATCCCACCGATCCCTAGTCAGAACTGTTTAAGACATGCTGGGCTGGGCCGGCGCCGTGGCTCAATAGGCTAATCCTCCACCTAGCGGCACTGGCACACCGGGTTCTAGTCCCGGTCGGGGCGCAGGATTCTGTCCCGGTTGTCCCTCTTCCAGGCCAGCTCTCTGGTGTGGCCAGGGAGTACAGTGGAGGATGGCCCAAGTGCTTGGGCCCTGCACCCCATGGGAGACCAGGAGAAGCACCTGGCTCCTGCCTTCGGATCAGCGCGGTGCACCGGCCATTGGAGGGTGAACCAACGGCAAAGGAAGACCTTTCTCTCTGTCCACTCTGCCTGTCAAAAAAAAAAAAAAAAAAAAAAAAAAAAAAAAAAAAAGACATACTGGGCTGAATCAAAATGAAATCGAGTAGGTTACATTACTAATACTTAAAAATTTTATTTACATAGTTACTTTGCATATATTAACCTTCTCAAAATCATTTTAAAAGAATAACAGGGTAGTGTTTTTTCAGATTAAAGGCATAACTAGAAACATTCTTATTGACTAAGTTAAAATGCTTTAGAGATTTTAAAAATATTTTTAAAAATCTCTAGATTTCTGTTTTCTTAACTTTTACCAACTAACGAATAGGCACATTTAAGTAAGTACGTTAAACACCATTTTTAAATACAGTATTTGTTAAGGATGAAGCTATACATAGTGAAATGATTAATTTAAAATGTGCTATTTATTCATTGTAAACCACTTTAACTACAAAATAAGTAGTTTTAGCTCTGTGGATAAATTTTTTTCTCACATATCCATGTAGTATCCCCTAAGGGAACACAGACTGTGGACATTTGACTCTAACAGGAATCTTTTTTTCACATGGGAGTCAGTAGGTGGTGAAAGTACCATATTTTGGCTGGTGCTGCGGCTCACTAGGCTAATCCTCTGCCTGTGGCGCTGGATTCTGTCCCGGTTGCTCCTCTTCCAGTTCAGCTCTCTGCTGTGGCCCTGGAGTGCAGTGGAGGATGGCCCAAGTGCTTGGGCCCTGCACCCCATGGGAGACCAGGAGAAGCTCCTGGCTTCAGTGCAACGGCTGCAGCGACCATTAGGGGGTGAACCAACAGTAAAAGGAAGACCTTTCTCTCTCTCACTGTCCACTCTGTCAAAAAAAAAAAAAAAAAAAAAACTACCATATTTTGTCAAAACTAAAGTCACCTTATTTTCCCCAAATTTTAACATCCCTGAAATTACAATGTGTCTTACAGTGTTAACAGTTTGACTATGTTTCTCTAAATCCATTTTAACGCTAGTAGTTTTCCCTGAGGCCATTAAAAAGTGACATTTCATAGGTAAGGACTTAGTGTTTATCCCACGGAGAAACAGAACGCAGACCACCTACATCTAGTATTTCTAAGTTTTCATCTATTGGGTAATACTGATTAACACACTGATCATAATTTCAGCTACCTTACTGTTTCTCCAGGAAGCTAAAAGATATCCTTGTGGTTTGGTTTAATTGTGGTAAGACATGTCACATGAGCTCAATCTACAGTATGGTATGCATCTTGCATAACTGAAACTTCATGTCCATTAAGTAGCAATTTACTTCCTCTGACCCCACAGCCTGACTTCTGTTTGAGTCTGGTTCTGCTGTTGAGTTAGCAGGGTGCCTTCCCATGCTTAAATAAATACAGGCACCAGTGTGCCTGGTCAGGAGCATTCACGTGCAAACTTAACTTCTATAAATGAGGTAATGAGTTAAAAAAAAAAAAAAACCTTCTGTGTAGGGTTGCTGTGATAATTAAACGGCCATGGATATAAAGTCCTGGCTCGAGAAATGGGTAGAATTTTGTTGTTCTTTATAGAGAGGGCTGTAGTAGCTAACTGTTAAAAGTCACTCAGCCACTAACAAGCAGAGCAGAGATTTGAGAGGCAGTCTTTACCTTAGCCATTATCAGGATCTTTTCCCACTACACTATTCTGCATGCTTAATTGTTACTGCTCTGTGTAAAGTTTAACTTTGATTGTGAAGCTTGAAATTGTTCTAACATTATTGAAAAATATGAACTTAAGTAGCTTTGGTACAAATAATATAAAACAAAGTAATTCTAACCTTTGATATTACAGTGATGAACATGATGCTATCATTTAAGGAACTCTAAGGACCAAGGAAAGAAGAAGTACTGATGCAGCACTGTCAATTTTGTTTTTTAGTATAATATGTTGAAAATAGTATAAACAGGCCATACATATAATATACAACACATTACATGAATATGAAGATTCATCATATTACTAAAGGTAACAAGGGCTTGGTTTGGGTTTTCATGAATATTTGTAGCTTATGCAATGGTATTTACTTTTAGAAAAACCTTACCCCATTTTTGTGGCATTGATTGCATAGGACCAGTAATGAAAGGCATCTTCACTGTAGGGCAGGATGGCATCGGGGCAAATGAATAATAGCACTTGAGATTTTCAAAGCAGGATGTTAACTAATGCCACACAATTGAGTCAACCAGACCTGAAGCATGATTTAAGAAAGCATCAACATTGTATGTATTTTAAAAGTATAGTAGTTGGTGTAGAGGCCAAATACATACACAAAATGTTCAAATAAAACCCCAAAGAATACCTGAGCATAGGCCTGCTTAAGATCCACTAGAACAGTGGCAGACGTGTATCTCTATTAACATAACTTCTTTTGACTTTTCAATTGTTAGTGGATATAATTTTTTTCTTTGTGTAATTTAGGTAAATTTCAGTGTTTTAACATGATAGTGTTTTAAGGGTTTAGTTTAAGTAATCTTGATATTACAGGGGGAAAACTCCTAGAAGTTAGATTATTTGCTACTGTGAGAAAATCGTCACCACTGGAAATTGCTTTTGTTTTATATTCACTTGTTAATTTAAATCTTATATTTAGTGAATATTTCTAGAGAAATGTAGAGCTACTCTCAATAGCTAAAAATTTTTAATGGAGCCTAAACACACCTAACTGTAAAACAGCAGTCCCTTCTGTGATCTCCTAAACAGTATGCTTTAGAGCTCCCTGTAGCAGAAGCTAATGCTGTATTTATGGAATCAGGGATTAGGAGGCTATTCCCAGGCCGTTCAACCTAAATGATGAAAATGCTGCATTTTTGTGCACTGTCGATTTTACTCAGATTTTAGGAAATGACATTTGCATACTAAAATCACACTGTATTTTGGAATACATTTATAAACAGGAAATTTCCTGCTTCCTTCACGTGGTATTCCTCTTTTCTTACTCTAGTGTTAAAAGGGAGTTACTTTCAGATAAATTATGTTATTGGAAAGAAAAAAAGCATAGTATTGTATGGACATCACTATCAGCAAATGTATTTTTGGAGTGTTTTCAGTTTATATTCCAGCACTTAAACTCAGGGTCAAATTTTAACAATAGAGGTATTTAGTCACACTAAATACTAAAGTATTTTTATCTTAGAGGCCAAACTAAATCGCACCAATTGCTCAAAGTCCAGAAATAAGCCAAGATGTCTTAATGAGCATTCACTAACATTTAACAGACATTTAACAGACATAAAATACAAGTAATGACAGCTATCTAGGATTTTGATGTGTCTCCTCACTATACATTTTGGCAGAACAATCTGATGAATATAATTATCCAAAATCCAGATATGGTTGGATCTATGAAACACGACTAGTTAGGCTGAATGTGAGCTGATGGTTGAGGTCTATGTTACTCTCTGGTCCTGCAACCACTGCTTTCATTTCTTTGGAAGATATAGTCAAAATGTACGTTAGTAATGAGGAGGCCTATAACTTGTCTCCTACATTTTTGGTATTTCAGTTCTGCAAGTCATTCAAAATTCTGTGTATTGGCTTGAAGTTTTTCTTGAATACTTGTTTCTTTAGCACTTTGAAGCTAGAAAACCACTTTTTAAGGATTGTCATTTGCCTTGAAAGTTTCCTCTGCTTTGGAAATACTTATTTGTTTTCCTCTATGTATATAAGTAGTATAATTTGTAACTTTCATATATAATAGCCAGTACTTTCAGTGCAGTTTGTTATTTGAAAAAATGGAAGAAAATGGTGATGTAAAGCAAATGTTTTACTTTGGACCACATTTCTTAAAACATAAATGTATCTAGTTAGGTTTATACTTAATTGTTTGCATTCCTTAAGAATGTTTTTACTTCAAGATAAAAACAATCCAGATATATGTGAATATTAATTTGGATAAACTGTAAAAGAACTATAGAAGTTATTGTTTCGTATTTTCAGAAAAAAGTTAAAGTGAACTCAGCTGTTACCTTCTCTCCCCTTTTTATTATAATGACCAGCTTTTGGTATTTCATTGTTACTGAGATCTATTTTTAGAATAAAATTTGTTCTCCTTCTAAGTTTTCAAGCATGTGGTTTTGCTTCATTCAGTTAAGCTCAAAATAAAATGGGAGATTACAGGTACTGGCCTGACACTACAAAGCTATAGTATCCCAACTGTGACTGTCTAGACAAACATTAGTACAATTACCTAGAACTTACGAAAAATGCAAATCCTTAAACTCCAGCTTTGGAGTAAAGCAGAGCAGTCTGTTTTAATAAGTCCACTAAAAGGTTCTGATGTACACCAAAGTATGAGCTGTTACAGAGCAACTAAGATAAAGGTGCTATCTTAAGGAAATACTTTATATAAATAAAAGGTGCAGACTGCTCAGGTTTAAACAAAGTCCTCAGGATCCTGGTTAGTCTGTACCACTCTAACAGAATGCCACAGACTGGGTAATTACAACAGCCAGAACCATGCCTGGCTCACAGTTCCGGATGCTGGGGGTCTACGGAGGGGGACAGACATCTGGAGCAGGCCTTCTCACTACACCAGTACATGGCAGAGGGCAAGAGGCGAACCTACTCCCAACATAAAAACATTCCCAGGGGCTGCCCTGACAACCTAAACACCTCTTAAAGGTCCCAGGTACACTGGCAATTAAACTTCAACCTGAGTTTTGGAAGGGACACTCAAACCACAGCAGATATTGTACAGCATATAATAAATACTTAAAACAATCACATTAATAAAACCGATTTTCTGATTCTAAGGAGGAAAAGTACCTTAAGTATTTGTTCCCAAGTCCTTCTTCCTCCCTTTGCTGTGGCTTCATCCTAGGCAGAGATTCCCCCACCATCTTTAGGCGTGGCTGGCTTGGCTTTTGACCTGCTGGTGTGAGAGTGGATGTAATAAACATCATGTCTGTTAGGGAGGGGCTCTCAAGTCTCAGCCAATCATGTTAAAACTTCATAAATCAGAAATATACAGAAATGTCAGACGTCACCAAAATGACAGAGGAGATACCAGTCTCATTCCCCACTACCCACAAATGCATAGACAGCTATGCAGAAACTAAAATAGCCCTGGGAGGGCTCAAGGTTCCATTTGAGAATCCTCAACAACATAGAATATCCATACCAAGAACTGTTGGAAAGATCAGTGTAACTGAGATGCCAGAGCCAGCTTAGAACAAAGCAGCAGCTGTCAGCATCAGCGAGTGACCTCCACCAAGGTCACAGCATCATTAGTCATTGAGATACTGGAGAGATGAAATGGATGCCCACCTACCTCTACCATGAAGCAGCTGTTTGCTGCAGGTCCGGAGCAGCCATCTTTCCCAACCCTTGTGTACATACTTCTGACTCCTGGGCTGTACTCATTATGCAAGGGTCCATATTCCAGACCTGGTTTCTGTGGCTGCACTGCACCCACTCAGGCCTAGACACTGGAGCTATAGCAAGCTAGTTTGCACCCCAAGCCCCAGTGTACCCAAGACACCATTTCTACTGTCATTGAGAGCTCTGGAGCTTATGCTTCAGACCCTACTGCAAGCCCATAATATGTAGATCAGTACCAAAAACACCAAAGCAAATAGTCTTTCCAAGGGAGCTTGCACCACAGCAAGTCTTTGTGCTCCTGTTTTAGACACCAATTCAGCCACCATAGAGAGCTAGGCCTCATCTTAGCCCCAGTGTCACTGTTGCCATAGATACACTTGTGCTCTCACACTCAACACTTACCTACTTCACAAGCGCCCAATCCTCATATACCATTATCAATTCATTAGTGGGGATGCCTGTACCCCGTGCACCCTTGCCCTAAGTACCCTAGACCCTAAAGCTAAAGGCTGCCAAATGTGCTATTTCAGGCCTCAGCTCCATGGCTTCTACATAGGTACCATCTATTAGTAGTGCTACCTCTATCGAAAGTGGGACTGCTAGCTAGACCACTAGACTGAGTGTTGGGCATCCCACAACCGCAACTTCCTTGGTGGGAGACAGATCAGGAAGACTGTAGCCACCATTGACACTGAAGACCCCAACAGCTGTGACCACTGCTGCACACATTGAGAGCATCGGGCTGTGAGCTGCCTGCAGTCTTTGTCAACATTGACGTCAAAGCTGCTTCAGGACCAGTGGCTGAAGTCTTCACCAGTGCCAGAACAACTGCACCCCGCCCAGTATTCTTGTTCCCTTAACAGAGGAAGATCTTTCCCTCCAAAACCAGCCTGTGAACTCGGAGGTGACTTCTCCACCACATGTGCAAACATCAAGACAAGAAACATGAAAAACCAAGGAGATATGCAAACACCAAAAGAACACAACTTACACAACAATTCTAAATAATCAATTTAAGGACACGTGGCATACTACAAGAAAATACAGAGAAATCAATGAAATTGGGAACATGGAAGTGAGGAATTTACTGGAGATAAAATACACAAATTCTGGAGCTGAAGGATACAATGAAATGAAAAATTAATACTGTGTTAACAGAAAGGATCAAGCAGAATATATGAATTTGAAGACAATGACTTGAAAATACAGTTGTAACTTGGAATGCACTGGGAATTGGTTCCAGGACCCTTTGCAAATTTTAAAAAATTCATAGATACTCAAGTCCTTTAAACAAAATGACATAGTATTTGCATATAACCTACACAGTTCTTGTATATACTTTAAATCACATTTAATTTGCATATAATACCTAATATTATAAATGCTACATAAAAAGCTGTTACCACATACTGTTTAGGGAAACATGACAAGAAAAGTCTATACATTCAGTACAAATACCATTGTCAAATGTTTTCCATCCAGAGTAGGTTGAACCCATAGTACAGAACCTGTAGAAACCGGGCTGACTATATAGTCAGAGGAGAAAAAGATTAAAAGGAATGAAGAAAGCCTAAAGAATTTCTGGGACAGCATCAAGAGAAAAACTTGAATCTTTAGGATTAAGAGAAAGCGTAAGGAAATAACAGCTCAAAGCTTCAGATACTTATATTCAGGTACAGAAATTAAAAGCCTCGATTCAACCCAAATAAGATTATGCTGTTACATATCATAAACTGTTCTAAAATAAAAAATAGCAAGTGTTTAGCTAACAGGTAAGATGCATGTATCGCACAACAGAGTGCCTCACTCTGACTCCTGAGTCCAGTTTCCTGCTAATGCAGACCCTGGGAGGCAGCAGTGTTGGCCACCCATGTGGGAGACCCAGAGGGGATACCCAACTCCTGCTTCAGTCCCAGGCATCTGGGAAGTGAGTCAGTACAGGAGATCACTCTCTCTCTCTCTAATAAAAAAAGACAAAGAGCGGATCCTAACAGCAACAAGAGAAAAGCTGCATATGATGTAAAAGGGAACTCCAGTACAGCTATCAGATTTCACAGCCAAAAGCTTAAAGGACAAGAGAGAGTATGGTGATATGGTGATACATTCAAAGTGCTAACAGTAGCACTTTCCCTGGCAGAGCTGTCCTTCAGAAATAAAGATATTCTCAGACAAACAAAAGCAATGGGAGTTTATGACCACCAAACCTGCCTTTTAAGAAATATTGAAGTCAGGTCTTCAAATGAAAGACAGTAACTAGAAAACTCACTGGTCAAAGAATGAAACTGTAGTGTGTAAATAACTTTTTAGTGTGAATATTAGAAGACAAAAATGATAGCTAGAATAATACAGTATATAGAGATTTAAAATGTGGTATCAATGGGGCTGGTGTGGTGGTGCACTCGGTTAATCCTCCACCTGCAGTGCCGGCATCCCATATGGGCACTGGGTTCTAGTCCCGGTTGCTCCTCTTCCAGTCCAGCTCTTGGCTGTGGCCTAGGAAGGCAGTGGAGGATAGCCCAAGTGCTTGGGCCCTGCACCCGCATGGGAGACTAGGAAGGAAGCATCTGGCTCCTGGCTTCGGATCAGCGTAGCTCCAGCCATGGTGACCATTAGGGTGTGAACCAGTGGAAGGAAGACCTTTCTCTCTGTCTCTCTCACTGTAACTCTACCTGTCAAATAAATTTAAAAAGAAAAATCTTAAAAAAAAAAAAGTGGCATCAAAGCCAAAATAGAATACAATGGATTTTAAGTTTAGATCTTTTTTAAATATAATGAAGGTTAAGTAGCTGTCAACTTAAAATTTTCTATTATAAGAGCCACATATGGCAGTGACAGAGGAAAAACCAATAGGACATGGACAAAAGATAAAAAGGAAAGGAACCAATGCATACCACTACAGAAGGCATCTAATCACAAAGACGGCAAAAGACAGTATCTATAAAACACCCAGAAAACAAATGAAATCATTATTTATCCATGGTTTATTTAAATGTAAATGAATTAACATTTTCAGTCAATACAAGCTATGACTGAACAGATGAGTAACCTGAGACCCAACTAACTTCATGCTACCTAGGGAGACTCATGTCACCTTTAAGACACATGCATTTTGAATGTGAAAGGACAGAAAGAGATACTCTTGAGAGCAGGGGTAGCTATACTTGTATCAGACAAGACAGACTTAAACCAAAAACACCCCACAATGAGACAAATTACATAAAAGTCGTCTCTTCATCAAAAGGATATAATAATTGCAAATATATATATTCACCTACCATCAGAACATGTAACTATATAAGAAAAATATGAATAGCTCCAAAAGGAGACAGGCTGCAATAGAAAAATGGTACGGGACCTCAATACCTTGCGTGGACTTCAATACCTTGTTTCAACATTGAACAGATCTGACAAAATCAATGAGGAAATACTGTACCTCAACTAAACATCAGGACAAATGGGCTTAACAAGCATGTACAGAACATCCCGCCCAACAGCAGCAGAATACATATTCTCCACAAGCACACATGAAACATTATCCAACACAGTGTCTTAAGTCACAGACTAAGTTTAACATGATTGAAAGCCAATTTTAATTTATTTAACAGAGTTATAGACAGTGAGTGAGTGAGTGAGTGAGTGAGAGAGAGAGAGAGAGAGAGAGAGGTCTTCCTTCCATTGGTTCACTCCCCAAATGGCTGCTATGGCCGGTGCTTTGCTGAGCTGAAGCCAGGAGCCA